GCTGGGGAATTTCCCACCCACCCACCCTTTAGGTTTCTCCATTGACCTGGCTATGGACTTCGGTTGGTCGCCGTTAAAGGGCCTGGCAGGAATTTTTCCACATGGCAAATTGGCACCAGCCATTTGGTTTTTTCGTCTACTTCATAGCAAATCGTCACAACTTCCTTGGTTTGGCGGTTAGGCATTGGTATGGGTATTGTTATGTAGATGTATGGGGGGGAGGAGCACCATCACCTCCCCCCGGTTACTGAAGGGTTACTGAAGGGTAGTCCGGTAAAAGATTCCGGGGGCGTGGCCCCATCCGAAGCCTATGGAGGCCAGGGCCCAAGGCACGCCCCCGAGCAGTGACCCTGGGGGAGTGCCTAGTTGATGTGCATCAGCAGGGCTCTCCCTGCTGGTGTTAACCCTTCCTGGCCTTCAGACAGACAGACTGAAGCCGGATAGTCGATTAGGACCAATGCCTAAGCCAATACCGCTCATCACCTGTGACCAATAAAGTTGTGGCCAATTTTAGCCCATTAACCTTAATAATGGTGTCTTGTGTCTTTATTTCTACTGGTGGGAGGTGGGAACTCGCCACGCAACATATTGCTGCGAACAGGGATTTTCGACTCTGGCAACTATGGAAGATCAGACAAGAGAAAAGCTCCTTTGCATTTATGAGGAGAGGTTGAGTTTGTTTGTCTCAAATTAGACCTAATATAAATGAGATTTCCCGGCAAAATCAAGCCCATACCTCTCACTGAGTTTGTATACATTAATAAGGAGCAGATGCAAGAGGCTCATTCACAATTATATTTTGGGAATGATTTGTGTTCTTACATAGCTGCATTGTTTCATACTTATCTTATAAAGTAGTCATGTTCTATGTTATAAATCAAGCCATGCTAGGAGTTGTGTCTTTTTGTTTTCCACCAAAAGAAGGCTCCAACTCTGGTGGGAATGTAAAAAGGTGAAATGCTTCTGGGAGATGATATATAACGAGTTGAAAAAAATGTTGAAATATACTTTCATTAAGAAACCAGAAGCATTTCTTTTAGGTATTGTGAGAAATGAGATAAACAGGAAAGACTGTAAGCTTTTTTTATATGCGGTAACAGCAGCAAGAATATTATTGGCCCAAAAATGGAAGCAAGAAGAATAGCCAACATTAGAAGAATGGAGGATGAAATTAATGGACTACGCAGAATTAGATAAACTAACTGGAAGGATCCGAGACCGGCGGGACCAGAGGTTCACCAAAGACTGGACTAAATTTATGGAGTATTTGAAAAGTATTTGTGATGACCAGATTACGTTTGTAGGTTTGCAAGAAGCTATGTGAGGAATAATTTAAGAAATATTGTAAAAATGGAAAGGGAGAGATGATTTGTTAGAAAATGTAAAGGCAATATTAAGAATTGCAGGAGAAGTAATTAAGATGGAGGATTATCAGAGGTGCTGAAGGAAGTCCAAACAAAGATATGTGTGTAATAATTTGTGTGGTATGTCTTTAAAATTTTGTATGCTAAAAATTAATAAAAAATATTTATAAAAAAACACAAAAGAAGGCTCCAACTCTGCGCACTGGCTGATGAACACGCTCTGATCAGGGCTGCTCATTCCCAGTTAAAAAATCCCCCCCAATAAGAGATTGCCTAAGTGTGTTTCACTGCAGGTTGGGGTGTGGTATAAAAAACCAGCCAGTTGTTCACAAAGATGCTTATCTGCCAGCCTAATTCAAGTTTCACCCAGGCAACCCGCACCCTTATTTATTTATTTTTAATTACAAAGGCATATGTGGGCCTGCCTCTTTGTATAACGAAAGGCTGCAGTAATTAAAATGGCAGCAGCCTAACCAGAATCGGGTTGCATCCTCTTAATGCCGGATGCAACGAATATTTCGAGAGAGGACGAAAATTGCACTGATTGCTATTAACCACCAAATTGCAGAGCCTACTTGTTACAGCAAGGAGGAGTGTAATTATGCGTTTAAGCATTGTCTCCTCACTCACTCAGCAGAATTGCCCTTAATGTTGCGGCTTGCTCTTTTCCCCACTCCTTGTTTCTATGCTGAAAATTTATTACCGATGTGTGAGAGAGTCATCTTCCCTTTGAGTCAGGATACCAGCTTAACAGTGAAAGATTTTTTTTTACACTGGGCCACCAAACCCGGACTCTCTATTAACACTGTCCCCTCTTCAAACAGCCCACAAGAACCCCACCTCTCTCTGAAACATGTAAGAAAAGTTATGCTTAGTGGGAGTTTGAAAAGAGTGAAATTTCCAAACATGGTTAGAATCATAGAACTGCAGAGCTGGAAGGGATGCTGGGGGCAGCGCAGTCTTTAGCATACACACTGCCGGGGTGCAAAGATCCGCCCAGGGACCCCAAATTTAGTTAAGGCCCCAAATTAACTTTTATTATGATGTAAGAGTTAATTTTGTGTGCACGGCTCTGTTGAGAATGACAAGCGCCACCGTTGTGAATGATAAGCGCCGCTGGCGGCACGGCGCGTCTTTGGTAAATGAGCGCACAAAGTCGAAAGTCCTTTAGTGAAACAGTAGGTATTTGTTGTTGTTGTTTAGTCGTTTAGTCATGTCCGACTCTTTGTGACCCCATGGACCAGAGCACGCTAGGCACTCCTGTCTTCCACTGCCTCCTGCAGTTTGGTCAAACTCATGCTGGTAGCTTCTAGAACACTGTCCAACCATCTCGTCCTGTCGTCCCCTTCTCCTTGTGCCCTCCATCTTTCCCAACACCAGGGTTTTTTCCAGGGAGTCTTCTCTTCTCATGAGGTGGCCAAAGTATTGGAGCCTCAGCTTCAGGATCTGTCCTTCCAGTGAGCACTCAGGGCTGATTTCCTTAAGAATGGAAACAGTAGGTATACATTTTGGTAATACCTAGGTATATATGTACAGTCATACCTCGGGTTACAGATGCTTCATGTTGCGTTTTTTCAGGTTACAGACCCACTGAAACCTGGAAGTACCGGAACGGGTTACTTCCAGGTTTCGGCGGTCGGGCATGAGCTTTTCGCATGTGCAGAAGTGCCGAATCGCAACCCATGCATGCGCACCACTGCGGGTTGCGAATATCCATCCCGCACGGATCATGTTCGCAACCCGATCATCCACTGTATTTTGTTTTTCTAGCTTGATCAAAATTATTTATTATTTCATAACAGGTAGATAGTTAAGAACTTATGCGGCTTCAGCGGTGAGTGCCTGGTGCCTCCCAGAATTTGGCACCCGGGTGCCCCACACCCCTTGCACTCCCGGTAAAGACGGCCCTGGCTGGGGGTCATTCCCTGAAATGCAAGGAATATGCAGGTAGCTTCTATGAGGATTGAACCCGTGACTTTGGCATTATCAGCACTATGCATAGAATTGTAATATAATAATAATAATAATAATAATAATAATAATAATAATAATAATTTATTATTTATACCCCACCCAGCTGGCTGGGCTTCCCCAGCCACTCTGAGTGGCTTCCAACAAAATATTAAAACACCGTAATACATCAAACATAAAAAGCTTCCCTAAACAGGGCTGCCTCCAGATGTCTTCTAAAACTCTAGTAGTTGTTGTTCTCTTTGACATCTGGTGGGAGAGCGTTCCACAGGGTGGGTGCCACTTCTGAGAAGGCCCTCTGCCTGGTTCCCTGTAACTTGGCTTCTCGCAGTGAGGGAACCGCCAGAAGGACCTCGGCACTGGACCTCAGTGTCCGAGTAGAACGATGGGAGTGGAGGCGCTCCTTGTAAGTAGGAAGGGACCCAAAGAGTCATCTAGCCCAACCCCTTTCAACAGTTGAGCTCTGGAAATTGGCACTTAATGTTGTTTTCCTCATAACATGAAGGTTGCCCTAACAGTGTTGGGTTTGGCCAACCCTTGACTTAGATGAGTGTGCCTGTGCCTTTAAGTGCGTAGCAGCTTTGGCAGAGGCAGCTTTTTCAGCACTGCAAAAAGATTTGAGAAGAGAGACCCGCCCAGGCCTCTTCCTGCCACTCAACTGTTAAAGGCACAGGAGCCTAATTTGAACCGGGGCTACATTACTCGTATAGTTGCTGCCAAGTAAGAGTGGGACCAGGAAGTTCCTCAATAGTTCATCTCTCATGCACACTCTCATTAGATTCCCTGTAGCAAACTCCTACCTCCTATATTAAGAAAGCCCACACAAAAGAGGCATGGCTAGGCTGTGACGGTTGTGTCATCTATTGAACTTCAACCAGTGCCAGATACCTGGTCTTTATCAAACATCCAGTGTGATTTGTTTGCAGGGAGGTTCCATAGCAATGAGCATTCATCCTAATTTGCTTGCTGAAATATATTCAGAGGAATATCACCCTCTTCTTGGCGTCTTCTTTGTTGGTGACCCCTTTGGTTTCTAGGAGGAAGGTGAAATGGGAGGCGTACGCTTCCCAGTCTCCGGATGCTGGGTTGAACAGCGAGAAGCTGCTGTCAGTGGCCATTCTGGGTTCCTTAGGTTCCGGAGCTGAAGCCTGGATACACGGTGCGAGGCAGCGGTGTGGCAGGTGGCAGTGCTGTGTGTGGCGGTCAGCTCAGCGGTATCCCACCTTCATCGCCAGTGAAATATACTTGGAGTCGAGTGTGGATTTCTTGCTCTTTATTCAGCTCTTAGTAGTGAGGAATGCCAGTTCCCCTGAAATGTCTGCTTTATATACATTATTTACACAATGGGACCCACGTGATTGGCTAATTCTGGGATTCTCCTGTAGGCCAATCAGGTTGCGGATTCACTTCCACCTGGAGCTGGCTTGGGTGGCTCCTGTGGACCAATCAGACTGCTGCATTCTGGATCCTATTGTTCTAGGACCAATCAGACTGCTGCATTTTGGATCCTATTCAACTCAGTACATAACACTTGCTGAGTGCTTATATGTCCTCCTGTTAACCATTCATTCACGCCACACTTTTCAACACATTTCCCTGTCACTTTCCTAACTGCAAAAATACGTTTTAAAAAGTGGATTTGTGGGACTAGGGCAACAGAGTGTTTTCATGGCTCAGTCAGAAGAGCATGAGACTCTTACTCTCAAGGTCGTGGATTTGAGGCCCACATTGGGCAAAAGATTCCAGCATCGCACGGGGTTGGACTACATGACCCTCTTGGTTCCTTCCAGCTCTACAAATGCAAGTTTCCCAATATCTACTTCAATCCCTCCTGCAAAATATGGACAGTTTAAGGTAAAGGATAAAGGGTAAAAGGACCCCTGACCATTAGGTCCAGCTGCGGATGACTCTGGGGTTGTGGCGCTCATCTCGCTCTATAGGCTGAGGGAGCCGGCATTTGTCCGCAGACAGCTTCTGGGTCATGTGGCCAGCATGACTAAGCCGCTTCTGGCAAACCAAAGCAGCTCACGGAAACATCATTGTGCTGGTCCCGAGGGTTAACCGTGCGGCGAGGTCCGAGTCTAGTCCGAGGTCGAGGGTGTGGTATGGAGGCTGTCTGTCAAAGCTGAAGTGGGATCCAAGGCAGGGAATCGGGTGAGGTCAGGAACTCTGGCAGAAGAGCAGGACAGGGTGCAGGCAGGAACAGGCTACCGACAATGTTGCTCCCGCAACCTGGGACTGGGGCTGGCTGGCTTTTATCTGCCCTGAGGCATAGGGAGGCCCCGGTCCACAGGTGACTCGTCTCTCCTGGCCTGGAGGTGAGCACTCCTCCTGCGGGAACTTAGTTCCCTCCGCCTCTCTGCCCTGAGCCTCTGCAGCTCAGGAGAGGCTGGAGGGTTACCGGACCCAGAGGCAACCTCAGCTTCCCCTGACGGGGCTGAGAGTGGAGCACCTGCAGGCAATGGGTCCTCCAACACCTCAGGAGCCAGAGCAGACTCAGCTGGTGCCTGCACCTGAGGGTCCAGCACAGGTGAGGACCCTTCAGGCTCAAGCCCCAGCCCCGGCTCAGCTGGTTCTGGAGGTGGGGACTCTTGTGCAGGCTGGGATTCCTCTGGTTCAGCCTCCGAGTCCGAATCCCAGGCCATCACAGCCGTTTACCTTCCCGCCGGAGCGGTACCTACTTGCAGTTTGACGTGCTTTCGAACTGCTAGGTTGCCAGGAGCAGGGACCGAGCAATGGGAGCTCACCCCGTCATGGGGATTCGAACTGCCGACCTTCTGATTGGCAAGTCCTAGGCTCTGTGGTGTAACCCACAGCGCTTTGGGATGCCCTTAAGCTTTGTCCCAATATGTTAGGTTTCTGTGTACGGGAAGCATTTTTAACACTGAAATGGGAGATAAAACGAATGATTCCCCCACCTGTAATTTGACTAAAGGAGCAGACATCCCAGGACTCATCTGACTGTGTGATTCAGTTCCAAGTTAATAAGCGGTCATCTGTATTCATAAGCCCATCTGTCCTTTGATGAGTGTGTGACCTGATGCTATGCGGGAAAGAGAGAACATTGCCATATTATGTTTTCAATTCATTTGTTCGTGTACATTTTTAAACAGGTCAAATAAAAGCCATTTGGATCTATTATTTTCAATTACAAGGCATTTGTGGGGTGGGAGGGTGAGAGAAAGGACCATTTCAGGCTACATAATAGGGCAGTAAAACATTTCCTCCCCCCCCTCGAAATTGGATATTAAAACCCACAAGCATAGCTTCAGACACCAAAATATCTCTGCTCTAATACCCTCAGGGCAAATGGACACGCAAACGAGCGGCTGTTAATAATATAGTTCAATAATGCAATTAAGCGATGCATAAAGAGATGGCCTCAGCGTTAGTTTTGGGGTGACAGCCTTGCGCTGGTGCACGAGAGGATTAATTCCGCTACATTAGCACTAAATAGAAATAATGAAATAAAAAATGCTGTCGCTCCTAATTTGGCTGCTCTTAAAGCTGAAGGCAACTGTGATGCAGGGTATAATTCAGAACCGTGAGAGAAAAGACTCTCGTGCGGATGAAGTCTTCCTCTTTTCTGGAGTTTCCTGTGTACTCCAGTTCTGTAGGATGGCTGCACTTCAGTTCCCATCTTGCTTTAGGAAGTGTGAATTCGATAGGTAAAGGTAAAGGGACCCCTGACCATTAGGTCCAGTCATGACCAACTCTGGGGTTGCGGCGCTCATCTCGCTTTATTGGCCGAGGGAGCTGGCGTACAGCTTCCGGGTCCTGTGGCCAGCATGACTAAGCTGCTTCTGGCGAACCAGAGCAGTGCACGGAAACGCCGTTTACCTTCCCGCCAGAGTAGTACCTATTTATCTACTTGCACTTTGACGTGCTTTCGAACTGCTAGGTTGGCATGAGCAGGGACTGAGCAACGGGAGCTGACCCTGTCGCGGGGATTCGAACCACCGACCTTCCAGTCGGCAAGCCCTAGGCTCAGTGGTTTAACCCACAGCGCCACCTGCGTCCCCGAATCAATTTTCTTCTCTCTCATCCTTGGTGATGTGCGAGTGGGGGAAAGGGGTAGGCAGCCGTTGCAAACAGCCATGGACATAAGTTCATATCAAAGTATTTAACTGTATTACTTCTTAGGTCACATTCACACCATTTTCCAAACCGCCATGGCTTCTTCTTCTCAAGAATTCTGGGAGATGTGGTTTGTTAAGGATGCTGAGAGTTGTTAGGAGACACCAGGGGTGCCAACTGGATTAAAATATTGGGGGAGGGGGCAGGTAAGCCCCACCTTGTATAATCAGTCACATGATGTGGCGCACGCACACCATTTGAATGTCAATGGCCTTCAACTTTGGCAGCTGATATTATATTAGGAGCCCCAAAGGGACCTTGACCCCTAAGAGTTGTCTGTTACGGGATTCTGCAGATCCCAAGATTGGCTTAACAATCAGTCAGGGAGCTCTGGAAATTGCAGTTCTGTGAGGGGAATAGGTTTCGAGTTAGGGTCTATTCTGGAAGCCATACTTGCCTGAGAGTTTCTCTTAGGCTATAAGTGTCTTATAACTAAAGATACTGACTTTAAGGTGGGATCGCTACTCTTTGGGAGATATTTCCTCTCTGAGTCTGAGTGATTTGCCAAGTAAATGCCAGCAAGTGTCCTGCCTGAATTTACTCCAGAAGGTAGATACCCCGTGTGGACTCTTAATTAGGCAGAATGCATTAGTGTGTAGCCAAGTTGTCATGACAATCACTAAGAAGCAATTTCCAGCCTTGAGAATCCAATTACCCATCACTTGCAATCCATCAGGCTGACAATCTTCTTCCATGTTGATTTTCAGCTGTGCTGGTGGTTGGCCGGCCCATGGGGAAGCTTTGGGAGAAATCTCCCTATGTTGGCTGTGCAACTTTATTAAGTACCCTCAGGCTCCCTGCATTGCCTTTGCTTGGTGATTAAGTGACAGCCGAAAAGGAAAACTGTATTCAGTGGGGATCCGCTGAAGGAGCGTCTCCACCCCCATCGTTCAACCCAGACACTGAGGTCCAGCTCTGAGGGCCTTCTGGTGGTTCCCTCACTGCAAGAGGTGAGGTTCCAAGGAACCAGGCAGAGGTCCTTCTCGGTATTGGCACCTGCCCTGTGGAATGCCCTCCCGTCAGATGTCAAGGAAATAAATAATCTGACTTTTAGAAGACATCTGAAGGCAGCCCTGTTTAGGGAAGTTTTCAATGTTTGATGTTTTATCGTGATTTAAATATTCTATTGGAAACCGCCCAGAGTAGCTGGAGAAACCCAGCCAGATGGACAGGGTATGTATGTATGTATGTATGTATGTATGTATGTATAAATAAATAAATAAATAAATTTTGTTAGGGCCAGCACAAGACAGCTGAGCAGAGCATTGGACTAGGACTTGGGAGACCAGGGTTTGAATACACACTTAACCAAGAAGCTCACTGGGTAGCCTTGGACAAGTCACTGTCTTTCAGCCTACCTCAAAATGGCACCCCCACAGCCAGAGACGGAGGGGTGAGTGAAGATCTATAGCAGGAACCAGGGAGTGTTGGGAGCTGCCCAGAGTGGCTGGGGAGGCCCGGCCAGATGGGCAGGGAATAGGTAATAAATTATTATTATTATTATTATCATTATCATCATCATCATCATCCTCATCATCCTCTATTAAAGTCACATGGTATCACAATGGTAAGAGTGGTGATGGGCGCCTCTTGAGACAGGTAGGGTGGGAATTAGGAAGGCTACAGCCAGGAGGAGACAGAGCCTAATAATTCTAGCTTTGTCCTCAATCTCCTCTTTGCTGTGGTCTGCAAAGGCATCGCTAAGATTGAGGAGGAAGCTGACAGTCAGTGCTTGTAGTCAGACAGACAGTCTGGATTGCTTGTAAATAAGAAGGCAGACAGGTGGGAGCAGCCTGAGATTGGTGGTGCTATGCCCCATTCACTCTAATGGACCAGCCTCCCTGGTTGCAAACCTCCACCCAGATCACCTGGTTTCCCCACTTTCATCTTCTCACCTGGATTCATCCTCATCTTGTTCATCCCTATCCATCCCAAAACAACCTCCAGGCACCATCCCAAGAGTTCTCCAGCCTTCCTGAGATCATAAAATTGTAGAGTTGGATGAGATATTGAGGGTCATTTAGTCCAACCCCCTGAAATGCAAGAATTTCAACCTCTGCTTAAAAACCTTCAAAGATGGGAAGCTCACCACCTCCTGAGGGAGTCTGTTCCATGATCGAGCAGTTCTCACCACCAGAAAATTCTCCCTGATATTGAGTCAAATGAGCAGATCGAAATGAAGGTAGAGCTATCTATTGTCCTGCAAAGCTCCTGTTATATAGTCTTATGGGACACAGGTGGTGCTGTGGTCAAACCACTGAGCCTCTTGGGCTTGCTGATCAGAAGGTTGGCGGTTCGAATCTCCGTGACGGAGTGAACTCCCATTGCTCAGTCCCTGCTCCTGCCAACCTAGCAGTTCAAAAGCACACCAGTGCAAGTAGATAAATAGGTACCGCTGTGGCAGGAAGGTAAACGACATTTCCGTGCGCTCTGGTTTCCATCGTGCCAGAAGCAGTTGTGTCCTGCTGACCACATGACACCTGGAAAGCTGTCTGTGGACGAATGCCTGCTCCCTTGGCCTGAAAGCGAGATGAGTGCCACAACCCCATAGTCACCTTTGACTGGACTTAACTGTCCAGGGGCCCTTTACCTTTACCTATA